CGGTAGTGCCCGCGCTGTCCAGCTCCGCCGCGCGCCCCCCGAAAGCCTCCGAGGCCATCGCCGGCGGGAACAGGGCCGCCGATCGAGCTGCCGCTGCGGCGGGGCCCAGGTGCTCCAGAAGCGCGGCCCTGGCGCGCCGGTTGCCCGAGGATTCGATGGGGCCGAAAGAGGGGGCATTTTTCAAGGCCGCCCGGCCACCGCGCCAGTGGACCTTTTCGGTGGTGGGAGAAGTAGCGCGGGGAGAGATCTGGGGCCACCGCAGCAGGGCGGAGGAGGCCATGGAGACCCTGTCCTCGCGGCGAGTTGCCGCTCCAGGATCGGAGCCCGCGTCTCCCATCGGCGCTGATATAGGTGCAGAGGGGCTCTCAGGTTGGTTTCTGATCGTCGCGGTCGAGGTCTGGATGGTTCGCCCCCTCGCCTAGTCAACGACGCCCCTTTCGAGTGGTTGGCCAATAGTCGGTGCGCGGGGTCGCTCGAGTTGCCGTTCTTGGGGCGAGGGTGTTGGCAGCTCGGCGGGGCGCGCTGGCTTTGTTGGCGCGTGGAAAGGGGAGTTCTCGGTCTTGGGGGTTTTCTCGGTGGGGGGGGCCGGGCGCGCGCGGTTTGGCGGCGCGGTGTGCCTTCCCGACCTGCAGGCAGGGCCTCGCGCTGGCTCGCTTGTCTTCTGCTTCTCTTCGCTGTCGCCCTCGACCTCTACCTCGGCCTCCGCCTCCGCCCCCCCCCGTAAATAGTTCTTTGGCTTGCTGCCGGGCGAGGGCGTCTCGGCAGGGCGCGGGCGGGCAGTCTCGCGTGAGCGGGCCTTTTTGCGCCGCCCTTTCAAGGGTGCGGCGAGATTGAGTTCTGGTCTGTATCTTCGCGACTGGATTGACGGCCTAGCCCGTCCCGTGGCTGGGCGCATAGCGCTCGATCAGCGCGGGTTTGCGCGGGCTCAGAAGTCGGTGGTGCGAGCTCCCTGTCAAAGATCCGCGATCTCATGGACTCTTCCGCCACTGCGCGCTCGAGGCTGAACGGGCGGGCGGCCGGGGCTGCAGGGGGCTGGGGGGGGGGGGGGCTGTTCGGCGCAGGGCGGCCCAACGTGCTGAAGACGTAGGGCGCGGCGCCGCATTTAGCGCAGTTCGGTCGGCGCGGAAGCGCCCTCGCTGGCTCCTCAGGATTCCTTGGAAGCGGTTGGAGGTGAGGGCGTGGCGCCGGGCCTCCAAGCGCTAAGATGGAGGAGCGGGGGTGAAGGGTGAGGACTGCGTTGGTTCCAGCATATTTCCGCTATGGCTGCATCGCTGGGCCAGCCGGCTCTTGCCGGCGCGGTCAGATTGAGTGCGCGCGGTGGTGATCGGGCCGAGGTGGGGCGTCTTCAGGCTGGGGATCGAACAGATGATGATTGCGAGCTTTGCAAGCGACCCCTGAAGTCCAGCGCGCACAGGTGCTGGGGTAGCCCTTGCATTTTTTCCAGAATCGGCCGCGTCAGCGGGCGCGGGGGCCTCCTGTCCCCGATGTGGTCGAGACGCGGCATGTTCTGCATCTGGCGCTTGAAGAGAGCTCGCAGGCCCCCGTGCTTTGGTTGCGCGGCCTCGTTCCAATGTTGTGCTTGGGGCCGAGTGAGTTGAATGGCTCCGCGTGACTGGGTGGCCTCTCCAAGGCGGAATCTATGGGACCGGCGCGGTTTGGGTTGCCGACACCAGAAAGAGCGTGTTCTACCGCTGCTGGCGGAAAACCGGGGAGGGTCACTGGGCGTTCCCAACCCGCCCCCCCCCCATTCTCGAAAACAGGGGGGGGGGGTCGCTACCGGTTCGAAGCCCCCCCCCCCAGTCCATCATGAAGGGGGGGGTGCTGCCGGTTCGAGCCCCCTCCCGTCAAAAACTGGGGGTTGGGTCACTGCCGGTTCGAATCCCCCCTCGAAAACCGGGAGGGGTCACTGCCGATTCGATTGACCCCCCCTCCCGTTCGTAGCAGGCAAACGATTCTCGCTCTTCGGAAAAGTTGGACTGTGGTGGGGATGCTGGGACAGTACGTGTGGTGTGAACGGTGGTGGTGGGGACAGTGGTGCGGGGACAGTGGGACAGTGGTGCGGGCAGTGGTGGGGAGGGTGATGGTGGGGGCAATGGTGAGGGGACAGCGGGACAGTGGTGGGGACAGTGGAACAGTGGTGGGGACGGTGGTGCGGACGGTGGTGGGGCAGTAGTAACAGTGGGGAGAGTGGTGGGGACATTGGGGACAGTTGGACAGTGGTGGGGACACTGGGGACAGCGGGGCAGCACAGTGCAGGAAGTGTCCGGTTCGGTTCGGTTCGGTTAGGTTCCGAAGTGGGTCCTGTTCGGTTCGGTTCGGTTCTGCGTCGGAATTTTCGGGGGGGGGGGCGGGGGGGGCCGGTGGAGGTGGGGGGTGGGGTGCGCGGCGTGTGTGCCGGGGGGGGTGCCGGGGGGGTGCCGGGGGGGGGGTGCCAGGGGGGGGAATCGAGATTGCCGGGGGGGGTGCCAGGGGTGGTGCCGGTGAGGAGGGGTGCCAGGTGGGGGTGCCAGGGAGGGTGCCGGGGGAGGGGGTGCCTGGGGGGGGTGCCGGGGGGGGGTGCCGGGGAGGGGTTCTGGGGGGTTTGATGTCGGGGGGGAGGATGCCAGGGAGGGGGGGCCAGGCGAGGGGGGAGGGGGGGGAGGGGTGCCGGTGTGGGATGCCGGGGTGGGGCTGCCGAAGGCCGAGGGTGCCAGGGGGGTGGGCCAGGGGTGCCGGGCCAGTTGGGGGTGGGGGACGGGGGGGTTTTGGAAAGGAGAGTGTCTGGGGGGGGTTGCCGGGGGGAGAGTGCCGTGTGTGTGTGTGTGTGTGTGTGTGTGTGTGTAGGTGCCCAGGGGGGGTGCCAGGGGGGTGCGGAATGGGTGCTGGGGGGGGGGGGGTGCCGAGGGGGGGTGCTGAGGCCAGGGGGAAGGTCCTCTTGCTCAGCCTCCCTGACCTCTTTTCTCCTCCTTCTTGCCTCCTCCTCCTCCTCTCTCCTCCTTCTCCTCCTCCTCCTCCTGCCCCTCCTCCTCCTCCTCCCCTCCTCCTCCTCCTCCTCCTCCTCCTCCTCGTCCTCCTCATCCTCATCCTCGTCCTCATCCTCATCCTCACTGTCCTCCTCCTCCCCTCCTCTTCCTCCTTTTCCTCCTCCTCCTCCTCCTCCTTCTTTTCCTTGCCTGCTTGCCTCCTCCCCGTCCTCCTCCTCCTCCTCCTCCTCCTTGCCTCCTTGCCTCCTCCTCCTCCTCCTCCTCCTCCTCTTCCTCCTCCTCCTTCACGTCGCCAAATTGAAGGCCCCGGAGACGTCCGGTTCGTTGCGGTTCCGTCAGGTTCGGCCCTGTTCGGTTCGAAATCGAATCCGGTTCGGTTCGGTTCTTGTTGACAAAACGTGCGGTTCCTACCGGTTCGGTTCGGCCCGGTTCGGTTCGGCTGGTTCGGTTCGGTTCCTGAGCCTTCCTGCAGTGGGACAGCGGCGGGGACAGTGGGATAGTAGTGGGAACATTTGGGACAGTGGTGGGGACCGTGGGGAAAGTGGGGAGATGGTGCCGTGGTGGGACAATGGTGGGGAGAGTGGGGACAGTGAGACACTGGTGGGGGCACTGGTGGGGACAGCGGGGACAATGGTGGGAACAGTGGGGACAGTGGGACAGTGGTGGGGACTGTGGGACGGTGGTGGAGTGCGACAGTGGTGGGGGCACAGGTAGGGACACTGGGGACGGTGGTGGGAACAGTGGGGGCAGTGGTGGTGAGGACAGTGGTGCTGGGGACAGCAGTGGGGGATGTGGTGCGGATGGTGCTGGGGACCCAGGAACCGTTTGCCGGCGGTGAGTGGGGGGGGGGTTCGAACCCGTAGTGACCCCCTTCGGTTTTCTGGAGGAGGGGGGGGTTTGAACCGGTAGTGAACCCCCTCCGGTTTCTGGAGGGAGGGGGGGTCGAACTGGTAGTGACCCCCCTCCAGTTTTCCGGAGGGGGGGGAAGGGGTTCGAACCGGTAGTGACCACCCCCACGGTTTTCCGGATGGGGGGGGGTTAGGGGTGGGGATGGGTTTGCCAGGGGGAAGGTTGGGGGGGGTCGGTCCAGCAGGGGGGGGGATTTTCGGAGGGGGGGGACCCCCGGGTTCTGGAGGAAGAGGGGGGGGGAATTAATTTTCCATATTAAAACGGCGGTGGATCACGCTCTCTCCGACATCACAGGCAGCCTTTGTTCTGTCGAGTTGCACCTTGTATCGGCCGCCAAGGTTTCCTGGTGCTCCAGGATGCACGGGGCTAGCGGGCAGCCCCAAGCAGACGGCTCCGCGTGCTGAGCGTTCCGCCGCGAGGCAGAACTAGCCATCCTGTCGGGCCATGTGAACCATGTGCGTGCCCTTCTCAGGGGGATATATCATCGTGTCATGCTCGGAGATGCCGATCTCTGGTATGAGTTCTGGCCTCGCGCTGACTCATGGTCTGCCCCTCTTCGTCCTCGTCCATGTTCCATCTCATCTTGCGGGGGAAGAGGTCAACCTTGCCAGGTTGGTGCCTCGGTCGAGGAAGAAGCTGTCTTCGCCAGCGCGGTGGTCGACGAGCATCCCGCGCCCAGGTTTCGAGCGCCTGTGCTGAGCGCCCGCAGGCCTACCTCGAGCAGGCCGAGTCTATGCTGGTCCGACACGCCTTTCTGGCTATTGCATCGACCAGTGGCCCTGACGATCCCAACCGCATTCTTGGGGCCGAGACGGGCCCGCAGGACCAGAGGAGGGCGGCTGTTGTGCAACGCGCTCGAGAGAAATTATCTTCCGTTCTTTTTTAATCATATATAGGTGTGTGTGTGTGTGTGTGTGTGCACATACATTAATACATGCATCTATGCATGCATAAGTATGCCCGTATACAGACTTGTATGGCCATACCATTTCCCGTGAAACGTGAAACGCACGCCGTCTTCCGTTCCAGAGCTGATCTGGCTCAAAAGCAGGTGTTTCCTGGCCTTGAGCCAGAGAGTGAGGCCCTCTCCCTCGCCGCGCCTCGGGGTGCCGCCCTTTGCTGCCCGAGGTGCGAGGGAGGGCCGTCCGCCGCGGCATCGTGCGGCCCTGCCGCACGCCTGGCGGGGCAGGCGTCCACGGCGGCCGCGGGACTGGAGGCCTATGGCCGAAGCCGCGAGAGCCGAGGGCGGCGCGGTGGACGCGGAGGGCCTCATCAGCGAGGAGGAGGGGCTCGACGGGGGCGAGTACGTGCCGTCTCCCGACGGCGCTGCCGCTGCGGCAGCCGAGCCCGAGCCGATCGTGCCCGAGGAGGTGTACCGGAGCACGGGGTGGAACGCGCAGGGCCAGGAGCAGTGCACCTTCTACTGGATGGCGGTGCGGGTCGCGGAGGGCCCCGAGCTGTTCGTCAGGGCGCGGCTCCTGTTCAGCGACGACGCCTACTGGGACTGGTGGGCCTCGAACGCTGGAGCGCCAGGCGCGATCAAGGCGTCGTTCCTGCTGCACGTTTGCCGGGACGTGCCTTGCGACATCCAGCCCCCCCGTGCGTGCGAGGAGCTGGTCCACGTGACGGACGCTGTGCGCTTGGGCCGAGAGGAGGTCGAGGCTGCCTTCGACGAGTGCCACGCGAGCAATCCAGAGGCGGTGTGGCCCGCGCAGCTCCTTTGGCCGCGCGGGGGCGGCGGCGGACGCCCCCCTGCTCTCCGCCGCGGCGAGCGCCCGGCGCTTGCGAGAGGGCCGCCTGCCGGACCCTTCGACGAGCTCTTGGAGGGCCAGGCTCTCGCCGAGCTCGAGGCGGCGCCGTCGGGCCAGCCCGCGCTCCGCGAGGCCCTGCAGAGCAAACTGCAGGCCGCGAGGGTGCGCTTCGCCGACGCGGCGGGCCCCGCGAGGGCAGGCGCGGCTGCTGCTGCGGGCCCAGGCGCCCCCGCCTCGGCTGCCAAGCCACCGAAGCGCGGTCTCGCGGACATCTTGGCCGAGAGGGCTGGGAAGGCCGCGAAGGTGGCTGCGGCTGCTGGAGGCGAGGGGGCCGCGGCCGCCGCGCGCGGCGCCGAGGACGGGGCGAGCGGCGGCGTGCAGCAGCTCGCCTCGGCGCTGATGATGGCCCTGAAGTCGATGGCGGTGCAGGCGGCAGGCGGCGCCGAGTCCTCCGCTGGCGCAGATCTGCTTTCGGGGGCGGACGGTGCCGACCTGCCGCGAGGGCTGCCAGCGAAGCGGGCGCACTGCAGGAAACTCGCGACGGAGTGTCCGGGCAGGCTGTCGGAGCTCACCCTCGGCGAGGTGGCGTCGTTCCTGGGCGGCCTCGAGGGGGAGACGTCGGTGGGCCCGTCGTCGGCGATCGCGCTGCGATACCTCCTCACAGCCTACCTGCCGCAGAATCCGGTGGCGCAGATCGGCTCCGAGGCCTACCGCGAGATGCGGACGCTGTCGGAGGCGATCGACTGCCTGCTCCAGGGCAAGACGGCGCAGACCCTGGACCTACTGACCCAGCGATTGAAGGCGCTCCAGACCGCTGTTGGCGACGGCCACTGGCACGCGGCGAAGTGGCTCGAGCTGATCCCTGCCCGCGACCAGCCGACGACGCTCAGGAACGAGGCGAGCTCAAGCTGGAGGAGCTGTGCCGGAGCGATTCTGGGCCGCCGCGCGCGCGCTCTGGGCCCAGAATCCTGGCCGCGGCGCGCGCGGCGCCCCCGGCGGCCCCAGCGGCGTGCCGGAGCGATTCTGGGCCGCCGCGCTCTGGGCCCAGAATCCTGGCCGCGGCGCCCGTGGCGGCCGCGGCGGCCCCAGCGGCGTGCCGGAGCGATTCTGGGCCGCCGCGCTCTGGGCCCAGAATCCTGGCCGTCGGGGCTGGGGCGGCGCCGCCTGGGTCGCTGCCGCTGGAGGCGCCTGAGGCGGCGGCTACCCCTGCGGCAAGCGCCGCAGCCGCAGGCGGGGGCGCGCCGGTGGCGGCTGCTACCCCTGCGGCTGGCGCTGGCGAGGCGGCCAGTTGGCGGGCCTCGATCGGCGTCCGCTTCGGCGCGGAGGTCTCGGAGGTCGACTTCGCGATCCACTTGATGCAGCTCGTGGAGTACCACCCTGGCAGCCTGGGATCCTTCTGCAGACAGTTCTCAGCGCACGTGACCGCACTTTGCGGGAGCGGCAGACGCGTTCGCGACCTTCTGCCGCTGCCCCTACCTGATGTTACGGCTGCCAGGCGCTGGTCGGACAGCAAAATGAAGGGATGTGCCCCGCGGAGTCGGCCTGTCGCGCGTCAGGCCATGGAGGAGGCCTGGCTCATTGTGGTGGTGGTCGGCCTCAACTACCTGTACTGCGGCCGCTGCAAGGAGGCTTGGAGGCACCACCCGCGTTTGTCGCAGGCGCAGGAGCGGTCCCTGGCTTTCTTGCGGGAGCGCGTCATGAGCTTCGTCGGGGACCCGTTCAACCAGATCGTCGTCCCCTCCGCGAGTGCGGCCCTGGCTGAGTCGACGGTCGACTACGCGGGTGAGCCGGTTGCGAAGGCGTTGCCCTGCGTACTCGCGGAGCTGGCCCCAGGGCTGCCTCAGGCCGAGCACGCTGCGACGCTGGAGGCGCTGGACTCCGTGGGGCCCGACGTTGCAGAATGGCTCTCGGCGCCGGAGAAGGCCCTCCTGCCCGAGGCAGACTGGCACGCCCCTCTGCCGCGGGCGAGGGTCAACGTCGACTCCGAGGCGGGGTGGCGCGAGCTCGCGGTTCACCTCGTTGACCTCGGGATCTTCACGGTGCTGCCCGAGGAGAGGCTCATCCGGGTGCGGGGCGAGCTGCTTCTCAACGGCCTCTTCGTGGTCGAGAAGAAGGGTGTGCCAGGCCCTGGGGCCGCCCGCGTCACCAGGCTCATCTTGAACATGGTGCCAGGCAACGCTCTGCTCAAGCCGCACGTGGGCGAGGCGTCGGTGCTGGCCAGCCAGTTCGACGAGCTGGACCTCGCTTCACCTTCCCGAGGGGAAGCTGCTGCTGTGGTCGGGCGACGACCAGAAGGGTGCCTTCCTCGTCTGGAGGGTGCCCGCGGCCTGGCACCCGTACACGGCGGTGGGGAGGCCGCTCCCTGGCGCGTTGTTCGGGCGCCCCGAGCGCCAGGTGTACCTCGCGTCCGCCGTCATCGCGATGGGCTGGATGCTGGCCGTGCCCGTCTACCAGCATACCCACCGCAGGCTGTGCCGCCTGCCGCCGCCGTCAGGCGCGGGCTTGCCGCCTGACCTGGAGTGGCGGAAGGACGAGGCCCGCCCCACCGTCGAGGCAGGCAGCGGGCGCGATGCCGGCTGGTGGCAGGTCTACATCGATGATTTCGATGCGCCCGAGATTGTGGAGGAAGTGCGCGCTCGCCAGATGATAGGCACTGAGGCCGACCTGCAGCGGCATGCAAGAGAAAGCTACCGGCGGGCTGGCGTTGCGTACTCGGCCGAGAAGGCGCACCTGCGCCAGCTGCGGGTCGAGCGCATGGGCGCAGACATCGACGGAGAGAGCGGGGGGCTTGCGGCGCCGCGGCAAAAGGTCTTGGCCACTGCGGCCCTCTGCCTCGCGACGCTGGCGCTGGAGACTGTGCCGTGGCGGGTGTGCATGACGGTCCTCGGGAAGCTCGTGCGGGCGTTCGAGTTCAGGCGCCCGCTCTTCGGCCTGTTGAACTCCATCTGGGCGCTCTCAGGCGCGCGCGCAGCTGTGCGCTACAACGCCGAGATAGTGGAGGAACTGGTCCTCAGCCTCATGCTGCTGCCTGCGGCTGCCACCTCCCTGCGCAGCCACCTCGACGGCATGGCCGCCGTGTCGGACGCCTCGGAGTTCGGTGGCGGCGTCTGCGCGTCCACGGGCTTGAGGCTCGAGGCTCACACGGCACTCGGGGCAGCTGGTGAAGTTGCAGATCACCTCGGAGTTGGGGCGCGGCTCCTGAACATGCCGACGGACCCGCGGCGCCCGTGGACGACGTCGAACTTTCGCATCTTGGCATCAGTCGTCGTCAGAGTGCTCAACGTGCTTGTGGTGGGCCTGTTCGACGGCATCGGGGGCCTCGCTGTGGCCTTCTCGCGGCTGCCCGTGCGGATTGTCGCCTACGTCACGGCCGAGACGGACGCGAAGGCCAGGCGGGTGGTCAGGCTGCGCTGGCCAGGAGCGATCGACTGGGGCGACGTCGCGCGCGTTGACGAGCGCTGCGTCGAGGACCTGGTCGCCGCCTTTGGCCATGTCGTCGACGTCTGCGTCGCGGGCGCTGGCAGTCCATGCCAGGGCCTGTCTCGCCTCAACGCGAGCGGAGGCGGCCTGCGAGGACGCAAAAGCTCGCTGTTCTTCGAAGTCCCGAGGATCTTCAGCCTCCTGCGGAGGGCCTTCGGCAGGAAGCTCTACTTTCTGCTCGAGAACGTGGCCAGCATGTCGGAGGCCAACGTCCGTGCGATCACCGAGCGCATGCAGGTTGTGCCCTACTTGATCTGCTCGTCGGCCCTCGTTCCGTGCCGAAGGCCGCGGCTCTACTGGCTCAGCTGGCAGCTGCAGCTCGCGGAGCCGTGCAGCATCGTCGACTGGGGCTTCTGCTTAGAGGTCGTTGCAGAGACGGGCGCGGCGATTGACTTCGACTGGGAGGACGCCGGCTGGCGCTGGGACGGGCGCCCTGCCCCGTTCCCGACGCTCGTGTGCTGCAGGCCGCTGCCGAGCTTCCCGTCAGCCCCGCGTGGGCTCGCCCAGGCCACGAGCGAGGCTAGAAGCCGTTGGCAGGCCGACTCCTTTCGCTATCATGTTTCGCTATACGAGGACAAAAACCTTCTGCGATGCCTTGCGAGCGATCGGCCTAGACGACTCCCGAGCTGCGAGGAAAGAGAGCGGTTGCTGGGATTCGATGTCAGCTACACCGCCGCAGCCACGAAAGGCTCGAACCCGATCGACGCGGCGGACGCCAGGTGTTTCCTCCTCGGCAACAGCTTCAGCGTGCACGCTGTGGCATGGGCTTCGCAGCGCGTCCTCCTGGCGGAAGGGGCTCTAGAGCGGCCCTTCACGGTCGAGGAGCTGGCGCACGTGGGCCAGTGCCGCGAGACCTGGGACCAGTGCGGGACCTTCGAGGACAGCGCGGGCATCCCGGACACCCAAGAGGCGAGGTCCCTGGTCCTGCACTACCTCAGCCGGGCGGAAATGGGCGGCTCGGACATCCGCCTCGACTGCGGCCTGCCCTACCGTGCAAGAGGTTGGCCGAGGTCGAGCCTGGGCCCTTTCGTGTGGCGTTGGCGAGTCGTCCTGAGCATGGCGTGGCCGCGGGAGAGGCGCGCGCACATCAACGTGCGCGAGCTGCAGGCGACGCTGGCGGCGCTGCGCTGGAGGGCGAAGTCAGCGCGGCACGGCTCGCGCTGGTTGCACCTCGTGGACAGCCAAGTGGTCGCGGCCATCGTCACCAAGGGCCGCAGCAGCAGCCGCCGCCTGCAGCCGGCTCTCAAGCGCTGGTTGGCCATGGCGATAGCGGCGGACATGTGCCCTCTGATCGGCTACGTTGTCTCAGAGGATAACCCCGCAGACGAGCAGTCGAGGAAGCTGCGGCGTGGGTCGCGGCTCAGGGGGCGCGCCGCAGGGCCGCCCGTCGCGCGCCCACGCGGCGCGCGGCTGCTGTGCTAAAGCAGCGGAGCCAGCGCACGCAGACGCTGGCATCGCTGCGGGTCGGCGCTGCGACCCGAAGGAGATATGCCGCTGCGGTCCGAGAGCTCCTGAGGCGCTACGAGGTGAGCCCCCAGGATATCGGGGCCCTCGGCGACGACGGGGAGGATGCCGACAGCCTCGTCGCCAACTTCCTTGAGGCAAAGTGGAGCGAGGGAGCTGGCATCGCGCTCGCCAACAACACTGTGGCGGGCGTGATCTTTGCGGTGCCCAGGCTGCGGCGGCGCCTGGACCTCTCCTGGGCGCTGCTGAAGGCGTGGCGCCGCGCCGAGCCTGCAGGCCGGGTGCTGCCGTTCACGCCCGAGATTGTGGGGGCCATGGCTGGCCTGGCAGCGGAGGCGGCGGCGTTCGACGTGGGCGCCTTGCTCCTCATCGGCTTCGAGGGCATGCTGCGCGGCGGCGAGGCCTTCGCCCTCCGCGGGCAGGATGTGATGGATCGAGGCGAAGTCATCGTCCTCCGGATCAACACGTCCAAGACGACGGCGGGCAAAGATGGCGCCGAGGCCGTGGTCATCCGCTCGCGGGTCGCAAAGGAGATGCTGCGGCTGGTTGTGCGGCATCGGCGCGCCGACGAGCCTCTGTCGTGGCGGTCGCCCGCGCAGCTGAGGAGCGCGCTGGCGGCCCTGGCGCGCGGGCTGCTGCTGCCAGGCCCGTTCTCGTGGCATTCGTGCCGCCGCGGAGGCGCTTCCGACTTTTTCCTGAAGTCGTCTTCGATGGAGGCCACGCTCGTCGCGGGCCGCTGGGCGTCATCGATGACGGCGCGGCTCTACGTGGAGGGCGCCGTCGCCGACTTGGTGAAGGTGCGGCCCCAGGACCAGGCCGCCTCAGCCGTGCAGTACGGCTGAGGCGGCCTGGTCCTGGGGCCTTCCTTGATTGTTCTAAATGATCTCCTCTCGCGCATGCATGTTATAAGCAGTAGCAGCAGCAAAGGACAAGCCTCTGCAATTAAGTGTGGGGAGGGGTGGAGAGTCAAACGGCATTTTCACACGGCCTTTTAGAGCCAAGGAGGGAGTAAGTGGTTTAGCAGGTTTCCCCCTCCCGTGCGTGTGGGCCGAGTGCTCCCTGTCAGGGCCTGGGCTGCCCTCGGGGTTCCTGGGAGGGCAGCGTGGCTGTTGGGGCGTCCCCCCAGGGCCTGGGCTGCCCTCGTGGCTCTCGGTGAGGCGCAGCGTGGCTGTTGGCAGGGGCGATTCGGTAGCACGCAGGAGGGGGCGGGGAAACGAGCTAATAGACCATTGGCGTGGCCACGTGCGCGGAAAAACGGTATGCCCGTATACAGACTTGTATGGCCATACCATTTCCCGTGAAACGTGAAACGCACGCCGTCTTCCGTTCCAGAGCTGATCTGGCTCCCACCCGCGCTCCACCCACAAATCATCTCTGTAGAAGAAGCCGGCTCAATGCTTGCCTGAGGTGCCGTAGCCCAATCAGGTTTAGCAGGTTTCCCCCTCCCGTGCGTGTGGGCCGAGTGCTCCCTGTCAGGGCCTGGGCTGCCCTCGGGGTTCCTGGGAGGGCAGCGTGGCTGTTGGGGCATCCCCCCAGGGCCTGGGCTGTCCTCGTGGCTCTCGGTGAGGCGCAGCGTGGCTGTTGGCAGGGACGATTCGGTAGCACGCAGGAGGGGGCGGGGAAACGAGCTAATAGACCATTGGCGTGGTCACGTGCGCGGAAAAACGGTATATTTATTTATAAGTTTTATAACATATATATATAATTATATTTATACACATGTGTGTGTGTGTGTGTGTGTGTGTGTGTTTCGAACTCACAGCCGATGCTTGTCCAGACTCAAGTCCAGCTGTGCTGCCAGGAGTTCCCTTGCATCTCTGTCTTTGGCGCCCGTTCGTGTGCGTGTTCGTCTTCCGCCGAGGTTAGCATCCTTGCCACCCTTCGACGAGCAGCTCGTCGGTTCATGCAATGGTCCGACCCTCCAGCTCGTTTTAGTAGACATGGTTGGCGAGGCCAGTTGCTCCACCAATCTCACGCTCTGTGGCTCAAGGGGGGCTTTGTCTTCTGCAGCGGGTGGGGCAGATATGCCGAGGGCCTTCCAAGGCTGCTTACCCAGTAATGTGAAGCCACTGTGCGTGCCTTTTTTCTCGGTCACCAAAGGCCAGTATACTGTCCTCATGGGGATTTGGAAACGTTTGCCGCCTCGTATCGATATCCGAGAGTGGAGTCAGCGAACCGATGTTTCGTATTGCTGTGATCCTGGGTGGGCTCTCCGCCGTTGGCGGTCCCCTGCCTGTGTGTGAGTCCTAGGTCCCTCGGAGGTTTGTAGGCAGATGCTCGTGCCCTTGCCTAGTTGGGAGCTCCCTCTTCCTCCCTCCTCCTCTCTCTTCCTTCCTCCTCATCCCTCCTCCCCTCCTTCCTCTTCTTTGGTCTTGTTAGTGCCCTCGCGCTGTAACTTATGGATATCTGGCCTGCCGTTCGCTTGCTCCCTCTCTCTCTCTCTCTTTCCTCTCTCTCTCTCTTTCTCCCCTCGTCAACCCGCAGCCTTTTGGTTTGGGCAGGCTGCTTTCGCTTATGGCGAAGGGGGGCGCATGCCCCTGTGAACCCGATTCGTTTTTTTTCAAGATCTTGCTCCATCTCGGCACCCTTGCCTCCCGGGGCCTTGACGGAGGGTGGGGCAGCGGGAACCCGGGATGGTGGCCCTATTGGCCTGCATTCCCGTGCCCGCCGTCGCGGCGCTGGCCACCCTCATTGGCCCGGTGCTCCCTGGCGGACTCGGCCCCCGTCCTGGAGTCAGTGGCTGGGTGGGCTGTCCGAGCGCGAGCGGAGCGGAGGCGGGGAGTGCAGGACCCCCCGCTCGCCCGGCTGAAGGGGAGTGCGGACCTACGCAGGTCGTTGATAAAGGGTTTCGACCTGAGCAGGTTGTTAAGCATCCTCCCTTGGACGTGGCAGGGCCCTCCGAGTGGCCAGCCCCCCACGCGCCCTGCTGAGGGGGAGGCGACTGAGGCTGAACTGAGCGTCGGCTGGCTGGCCGACCCCCCCGCGCGAGGGTTCCCCAGCACGGCGAACGCAGGTGGACGACCCGAGCGCGAGTGGGGTAGGCCCGGCGGCCGCAGTGGCGGCCATCCCCGTCGCCCTCTGCAGCACCCACCTCGTGCAGATGGACGACCCGAGCGCGAGTGGGGTACACCTGGCGGTCGCAGTGGCTGCCATCCCCGTCGCCCACTGCACCCACCTCGCGCGTGTGGACGACCCGAGCGCGTATGGGGTAGACCCAGGAGGGGACTCCGAACGGGCCGCCTGCCGCGGGAGTGACTGCCCTTCGAGGGGGCTGAAGCCCAACGGAACCAGATACCATGGACCTGGGAGGGTGGAAGGGTGGGCGGCGGGGCTACGCGCGCGGCGCCGACGGGGGCTTGGACCACCGGCGCCACCTCGGGCTCCGGCGATTGGGAGACCTGCCCGGCCGCGCCACGGGATTTCTGCGAGATGACGGACTCCCAAACCCATGGGGGTCCCGCGCCTGGGAGGGGGTCGAAGATGAGGTCCTCGTCGCCGCGCCCATACACCTTGCCCCCGTGCTCCTCGTCCTCTTCGGGAGGGTGGGAGGGGCCCCAGGCGGGAAGGTCGAAGGATCGATGTTCGCGGGGGGGCCGGTGTGCCTCTCGAGCCCCCCGGTGTGGCTCCTCTGCCCGTCGTACGACCTGGTCCTCGCCACCTCGCCCATCCACCTCTCCCCCGGGCGCCAAGTCTTCTTCGGGAGGGTGGGGCCTGGGGAGTCCCCTGGTGCCTCGTGCGACGTGCATGGCGCCGACGAGGACCTGGCCCCTCGGCGCTGACCCTGGCCCCGAACCTCCGGGAGGTCCCCCCTCACCCGGGGGAGAGAAGCAGGGCGGATTACCCCCCGCCTTCCCTGGGCCCCGGCGCGGGCGCTGATGCCGGCTGCGGCACCGACGCCCGCAACTCGGACGCTCACGACCCGTATGCCGACGCCCCGAGCCCGGGTCCCGTGTCCGCGGCGGCTCGCGCAAGCTGCGTCGGTTCGATGCTTCTGGCGCTCCTCGCGCTTCTGCTGTCAGGCCACGGCTGCGCCGCGGTGGACGTCCATCGGGAAAAAGACGGCGTGGACGGCCGACCTGACGTTGACGACGGCTGGGACGACGCTGCCGACGACCACGACTCGTGCGCCGACTCTGCCGCCGCCGACGACTCGGACGCCGACGCCGCCGATGACGCCGACGCCGACTCGGCCGCCAGCGCCCCCGACGACGCCGACGACGCCGCAGGCGAAGTCGCGGCCGACTTGGACGAGAGACGCTCAGACGGCGCCCGCGACGGCCTCGGTGCCGATGCCGCTGCCAACGCCGACGCCGACGACTCGGACGCCGACGTCGACTCCGACGACTCGCCGATCCTGGTGCCGACGCCTCTGGACTCGGACACCGAAAACGGGCCCGACGACGGCGTGGACCCCCAGGGCAGGCCCGATCCCCGAGACGGGCCCGAACCCCGTGACGGGCCCGGCCCGCGAGGCGGGCCCGACCCCCGAGAGGGGCCTGATCATGACGACGCAGACGGCGACGACCAGCCCGACGACGACGGCGCGGACCCCCTGGAGGCCTGCACCTTAGACGGGGCAGAGAACGGCACCTGTGGGGAGCCGTGGAGAACGGTGGACGCCTGTGGGGAGCCGTGGGGAACGGGGGACACACGTGGGGAGCCGTGGGGAACGGTGGGCACCCGTGGAGGGCCGCGGGGAACGGTGGACACCCGTGGGGAGCTGCGGCTCTCCTGTGCCTGGCTCAGGCCCTCTGGCCTGGCCCTGGCCTCCTGCGGTGCCCTAGCTCCCCTCGTCCGCGCCCGCCGGCTGTTCTGGCTGCTGCAGGCCGCTCCGAACTCGGAGGCGCCCCCCCCACGACGGGCAAGGGCGCCCCCGCGGGCATGGCAGCACCCGCACCTGCGCACCCGCGTGAAAAGGGCACAGCTGCGCGACCAGGAGGGGCTCACCTGCGCCCTGGTGGATGCCTGGGAGTATCTGAAGTAACAAGACGAGGAATAATACGAGCCATACGCGGAATGGTAAGACAACGCATTATATTTATCATAAGAACGAGTCACATCAATAACATGACGGTTAGTAGTAACACTCATAAATGTAGTAGTTATAATGTTGCGAATCGTACTACTTTCGACTGCTAATGCGACTAATGCTGATAGAACTATTACGACGAGTAGTCCTAGTAAGAAGAAGGGTAACACGAATACGAGTATCTCTACGAAGCACAGAAACTCTCGTAGTAATGATGAGGGTAATACTATTATTAATATTCGTAATAATATTCATAATTGATATCATTGATAATCACTAAAAACTGATATTAGTTATTATTAATAATAATCGTAGTAATAATGATGCTACTACTCATACTACTAATACTAATACTAATACTATTAATAATATTGATAATAATAATATAATTATTATTGTTAATATTAATAAAGAGGAGGAGGCGGAGGAGGAGGAGGAGGAGGAGGGGAGAGGAGGAGGAGGAGGAGGAGCAGGAGGAGGAGGAAGGAGGAGGAGGGAGAGGGTGGGGAGGGGAAAAGGGGAGCAGGGATCAGGAGCAGGAGGAAGAGGAGGCGGAGGAGGAGGAGGAGGAGGAAGAGGAGGAGGGCGAGGAGGAGGAATATGAGGAGGAGGAGGAGGAGGAGGAGGAGGAGGAGGAGGTGGAGGGGAGGAGGAGGAGGGCAAGCAGAATGGCCAGAGGCCTCTTGGATGCCTCTCGGAGTCTCTTTGGTTCTTTCTTGAATGCTTCTGTGAGTCCTCTTGGAGCGTCTTGTGGGCCTCTTGGTGGTCCAGGGGGCGTGAGCGTGTTGGGTGTTTGGGGGGGGCCTCTCGGGGTCTCTTAGAGGTATCGTGGGAGCCTCTTGCGAGCCTCTTGATGCCTCCAGGAGGTCTCTAGGGGCCTCCTGGGCGCCTCTTGGAGTGCTCTTGGGGCACTATTTTGGGCCTCGGGGTGCCGTCTTCCGCAGCGGACCCGTCGACTGGCTTCTCGTGGCTTTTTCGATATCCACTTCGGCGGGTCGCGCGGCCCGCGCGTTTCGACGCTGGCGCCCGTGTTCTGGCGGCGGCGCACCCGACATTTTCAGTTCATTTAGCCGTCATGTCATCGGCTACCTGTGGCTGCTCAGCCGGTGTGTGGGCCTCGGGGTGCCATCTTGGAGCCATCTTGGAGGAGATCGATCAAAGAAGGGGGGGCCCAATGAGGATCCCACCCCCAGGAGGCCAACATGTGCCCCAAACTTTCGTAACCCCCACGATGGTCGCCTACTCGCCGGAGCCATCTTCGACGCTCCAATCGGTCGCGGGGCGTCCCGCCCAGGTCCAGGAAAAAAGGGAGGGGGTGGAATAGGAAGCGTTCTAACCAGTCGCGCCCAGAGGGCTGGTGCGAGTTTCGTTGCGCTGCCCGCGGAATGCGGGTTCGCCCCAAACCCACGTTCGTCCACGACGACGATATTTTCTTCCCTCCTCTTCTCCTCCCTCTTCCTCCTTTTCTCCCTTCTCTTCTTCCTTCTCGTCTCTTTCCCGTAGGCGTGCTTGGAGCGGAGGTTGGGACACCTAGCGGTACAGCATCATTGCAGCAACAACTCCACACTTTCCGCCCAGCAGCCAGTGCGAATTAACGTAGGCGCCCCCCCCCCGTACCCTTACAAGCCCGTGTATCACCCTTGCGCAGCTCCAGCCTGAGGAGGGGGAGGAGGGAGGAGAAGGAAGACGAGAAGGAGGGGAGGTGAAACTGCGTAACATTGAATCGGGGGAGAAGGATGAGTTGGAGCGGTCTCTAGGGCGGGGTAGTTTGCACGACTGCTGCTGCTCTCTTTCTGGAACTATTGACGCGCTGCGTACCCCCCACCATCACGTAACGTAACGGATCCTATGTTCAGTAGCGTGAAATGGGAAGTGGGGGTATCATTCGTGAAGCCAGGATAGGGCGCACCAGTCACGCGAAGGACGGCTCAGCGAAATGATTCTTCGATAGTCTGTAGCTACACTCAAATCGCAGCCTTTCGTGCCTTACCTCTCTTTGCTCTGGCGAGCAGCGAGCGGGGGTAGTGTTCAGGTGGGTGCGATCGCGTCATGTCTGACATCCGAGGCCTCCCACTCATCACGTCCCATTGTGGTGATGTCTTTTCTATCTGCCAACTGGGCTGTCCTGCGAGACCTTGATTCCCAAAGTGACCCCACACGAATCAGAAACATAAAACGGGGCTTTGTACACTAGGGGCTCAGGAGGTGGCGGATGAGCAGGAGGATGATCAGGAAGAAACATGATGATTATGAGGAAGGGGGGAAGAGCAGCAACATAAGTTTGCAAGAGGAACGGGATGGGAGGGCGGAGCAGGATGACCAGGGGAAGGCGGACGGGAAATGAGGGGGCTGGCAATGATGAGGAAGGAATGACATCCAGCAGTATGGCCTTTGCTGTGGCGAGAGCGCCGTTCTGAGCGACGGTAGCGAGGCGCCGATCCCGAAACGTGGTCATCGCTGCAATGGGTCATCAAATGATGGAATCCTGCATCCAATGCATGAAAAGAACTACGCGAGAGAGGCCAGAGCAGTTCCGTACATGATTAGGGGAGAGCGGAGCATAATTGTGGAGGGGGGTGAGAGTGGGGAGTGGGAGGGGGGGCGGAAGATGGGGAACGTGGAAGGGGCAAGCGGGAAGGAGGCAGTGGGGAGGGCGGGTGGGCCGGGAGCCTGCAGAGGAATGGTGCTGCCGCTTTGGCTGTCGTGCCAGGCGCGGCCAGCGAGCGCATGCTGTCCGCTCCGCGTCGTTTCTCTTCCTCTCGCCCCCCTTCCCCCTTCGGCTCCTCGTGGTCTAGCCGCTACTTTTCGATTCCTTCCGCTCCCCCATCCACGGAGGGACCGAGGAGCGGCGGTGGGGTCCGCCAAAACGAGGGTTGCCCTTCTCGGCTAACCGCGTCTTGCCCCAGGCCGCCGCGACCCCAAAACGTCTTCGCCCCCTGCCCCGCTGCTCCCGCCCCTCCCTCCCCCCTCCCCCCCTCCCACCCCCCTCCATGGAGGTCGCGGGCGGGTGCCAATCCGATAGGTAGAATGGCCGATCAATCCTCCAAGTAGAGTCGCCCTTCTCAGCTGATCGGGCCTTGCTCCAGGCCGCCGCGACTCCAATGACGTGTTCGCTCCCCCCCCCCGCCAGGGAGGTCGCAAGAAGGTGCCCGCCCCCTGGGGCCCAGCGCGCGCGCGCGAAGCGCGCGCGGCGCCTGGCGCGCCGCGGCCCTGAGGTGCCGTTCATCTCGAGGACGCCGGTGGTGCTTTCCAGCGGCGGCCTGGCGCGTGAGGGGAGAGGGCGGTCTCGGGGCGTCGATTATACACCTGCAGCAATCTTGGCCAGTCCAGTCCTGGACCTAGGATTGGTCTGCGTGTGTGCCTTCCTCGCCACGCCAGGAGAGCGTGTGCACCGATCGTGGTCCCAGGGTGGGTCTGGCCAGGATCGGAATAGGTGTGTAGTTGGCGCCCTCCCTTCCGAGCGGGGGGGAGGGGGGGGCGGACCAGTCGCCGCGGTGCACGAGAGAGGGGGAGTACCTTGACATCTTCGCGCCGTGAGAAAGTCACGACGAACATTTTGCTTTTTTTGGGGTGGAGGCATCGGGCCGTGGGGGCAGTCCCCGGGGAGGGGTCCAGACCTTTGGGAAACCGCGTGGCACAAAACACGACGCTGGACGTCGGATGTCTTGGGAGGATGAGGATGAGGATGAGGATGATGATGATGTTGATGATGAGGAGGAGGAGGAGGAGGAGGAGGAGGAGGAGGAGGAGGAGGAGGAGGAGGATACTCTCTGCCTCCTGACCTCAGGCGGATCGTGTCGGCAGCCCGCGATGCGTGCACGCCACTCAGGCGCCCCTCCTCCCTGATGATGATGGGGTATTTTTTGCGCCTCAGGGCACCCGGTCCGTCCGGGCTCGAGCTCAGCCGCCCAGTGCGAGGCCCTCCGCCTCCGCACCTGGGCGACGGAGGGTGCAGAGAAAGCGGACCGCGCCGACTGCGATGCAGCAAGCGCGGGTGTGCAGAGAAAACCCCCACCCACCGCTTTATTGGTGTGGGTGGGTGGGCCCCCAAAAAAGCTTGGCCTCCGATGCGGGGGCCTTGAGCGAGAGGATTACGGAAAAGAGAGAGGCAACAGAAGGCAAACCAGGGGAGGAGGCGACGGCTGTGCAGAAAACCCTCTGTTCTCACGAATGTCAAAGTTTTCTCCTCTCGCCTCTGTCTCCTGACCTCAGGCGGATCGTTGCGGCAGCCCGCGATGCGTGCACGCAGCTTAGGCCGCCCCTTCTTTCTGATGATGATGGGGCGTTTCTTTTGCGCCTCAGGGCACCTGGTCCGTGCGGGTGCAAGCTCCCGAAGTGGCCCCGCTGTCGCCCTTTGTGGCCCCATATGCGTATGCTCTTCGTGGCCCCCGCTCGCTCGCACCCGTCGTGCCCCTAGATGCATGCCCTTCGTGGCCCCGCTGTCGCCCCTTGTGCTATTCTTCAGTTCTTCGCATTCTGCCCACTCCTCCCCAGGCCACCCCATCCCACCCCAACCATCTCCACCCCTTCCCGCTCGGATTTTGCATGTCTCCCAACTTGTTCCCAGTCCCTCCAGATTACACCGTGCGCCTCCCCGCTCCTCCGCACTCCTCCCGGTTCCCTTGCTCCACACCTTCCCGTTCCTCCTCCTGAGATCCTACTCTTGCTCGCTCCATCCCACTCCACTCCACATCCCTGCGCTCCTCCCCACACGGTTGTAGTTCTTGCCATCCCCCCCGCTCCATTCTCCCAACATCTTTCTGCTGCTCGTCAGGGCTCCACGAATTTTGTTTCTTACACCAGTGTTGCTGTAGGCCCCCTGTGGCGGTATGTACGATTTTTTTTGCTTTTTCTCAAAGGGGTGTTGCATGGCGCTGTTTATGGTGCGACCCTTGGCGAAATTTATTATTAACCTGCATGGGGATGGCTGGCGCCAGCCATGGCGCAAGCTGAGTCGCCACTCGCAGCGCAAATTATCGTCCTCCCTCCTTGTTGCCCCTCCCCTCCCTCCCTCCCTCCGATCCCTTCGTCCGCATCCCGTTCTCCTCTACCCTCTCTTTCCTGTTTAGGGGCTTTCCCAACTAAGCGTGGCAGGGGAGGAATATACCCCCCCAAGGGGGGCACGATCGAAGACGAAGAGGGCGGGCATCCAGGGTTTAGGATATGCGAATGACTCGCGAGCAGATCAGAGCGAACAGTCTTGGACTTATAGCAATGTGTTGCTGTTCTGGTTGTTGTTGCCGTTATTGTTGTTGTTTGGGTACGCACTATTGAATATTAATTATTGTTGATTCCTCCCTCCAGTAACATATGTTTTTTTTATTGAAGTGAAAACTCCCGGGTCTCGCACCTGGCTGTTGTTGTTGCTCTTAGTCTTATTATTGTTGGTGTTGTCGTTGTTGTTGTTGTTGTTGTTGTTGTTGTTGTTGTTGAACATTATTTCTTCTAAAGAATAATTATTGTTGGGGCCCGCCCCTGGTGCATGGCCCCCCCGCCGCGCCTAGGCCGCAGCCACATTTTCATAATTTTCGTGAGGAAGTCTCAGGCAAAACGATGTGTACCAGATCCGGTTGTTTTGTTCCCCCCCGCTTTCCCTTGCAACAAATAAGCTAAAGTGGACATTTCTTGTTCTAACATAACCAAACTTCAAGAATCCCTTGCAACAAATAAGGTAAAGTGGACATTCGCGCGCGCAAGACGAAATCCTTCCAAAACCTTAGTTTTCGTAGCGATTTTAACATAAAAACATCAAAAAGCCAATGGTTTTTTTTTTTAAAAAAAAAATGTCAAAATTTCATCCCGCGCGCTCTTGCGGATTCGTAGGAAACCCAACACTTTTTAAACATTTCTGTCAAACGGGCTTTTGCGAGCAACTTTTTCGAACTTCTGCAACAACGGTTGCGCACCTGCCAGGGCCATCATCCCTGTCAAATAATACCATGCGGGACACATTCGTTTTTTCTTCGCGCGCGCACGCCGTCGTCGTCGGCCGCGGGGCCCTGAATAGTAGCCACGGTCGTCCGCATGCCACGAAGTGAAGTGTCCGAACGTCATAGGGCGGGAAGCTGGGTGTGGGTGGTGGCGAAGAGTCGTTTGGAAATTTGGTAGAGCTTGAACCGGCCCCCCCACAAAGTGGGGGTATTGCCCGCCTCCTATGAAAACCCTGGCACTGGTGAGAACGGAGTGTCCCCACGTGCTAGTAATTGTTGTTGTTGTTGTTGTTGTTGTTGTTGTTGTTGTTGTTGTTGTTCTTGCTTCTGTTGTTGTTGTTGTTGATGATGCTGTTGTTGTTAAGCTCTCACTATAGAAGAACAACTACCTTTGATCCCCCTCCAGTAACATGTGCTTTTTAGTTGAAGTGAAGACTCCCGGGTCTCGCACCTGGTTTTCTATAAAGGAACACCTTCCTGCTCAAATTGCGCCTTTGGCCACCGGACTACAACAACAACGGCTCCCGCCTGATACGCCCCTGTAATTTATTGAGGAATCGCGAGCTCGCTTGGGACGTCCTTGCAATTTATCACAAAATCGCAATTGAGTGGCTAGCGCCACGCCCTCGCCATTCAGGAACGGCGCTCTCGCTTGAGACTTCCTCATCATGTACTTTTGGGTCGCGTTCTCGCCCGAGATTTCCTGGCGAGTTATGCAGGACACGCATTCGCGTAGCGTGCATGTTTTTTCAATTGAAGTGCCCCTCCTGGGGCCCATTGTGTTTTTACTAAGGAAAGTCTTCCTGCTCTAACTGTGCCCCTGGCCCCCAGTTTACAGCAACAACAAGAACAACAGCAGCTGCTCCCGCCCGATACCTCCTTGCACTTTATGGAAGAAGCGTGTTCTCGCCGGATAGTTACTTCCTCGCAGTTTATTCGGGCGCCGCGTTTTCGACACTCAGGAATCGCGCTGTCGCTTTGGATCCCCTCACGAGGTGTATTTTGGAATCGCGCTGTCGCTCAAGGCTTCCTCGCGGTTCATGCAGGACGCACGCTTCAACAACCCGCCTCCTCGACCTGACTGCCTGGGCCCGCCCGTCGGGGTCTACCCGCCCGATCTACCCGTCTGGTTTTGCCATGGGTTTTCTGCTCCGAGCCCCCCTCCTGCTACTCTCTTTCTCTCTCTCGTGCTCCATCCTCCTCCCTCCCCCTTGTCCCTTCCTTGCATCCGTCCCCTCTTCCCTTGAAGTCGCTGCTGCGCGAAATACACGTTGCAGGTAAGACACATATTCTTCCAAGGGGATCCGGTCGAAGACGAAGAGGGTGGGTATCGAGGGTTTGGGATATACGTGTTGAATGGCACGCGAACAGATAAGAGCGAACAGTCTTAACATGATAATTGTTGTGTTTGTTGTTGTTGTTGAACATTATTAATTCTAAAGAATAATTATTGTTGGGCCCCCTGGTGCGCGCCCCCCCCGCCGCGCCTAGGCCGCAGCCACGTTTTCATCATTTTCGTGAGGAAGCCTCAGGTAATACGATGTCATCAAGATCCGGTTGTTTTGTTGTAATCCGTTTTCCCTTGCAAAAAACACTATAAAATGACATTTCTTGTTCTAATATAATCAAATTTCAAGAATCCCTTGCAAAAAATAAGGTAAAGTGGACATTCGCGCGCGCAAGACGAAATCCTTCCAAAAGCTTAGTGTTCGGAGCGATTTTAACATAAAAACATCAAAAAACCAATGGTTTTTCAACAAAAAAATGTCAAAATCTCATCCCGCGCGCTCTTGCGGATTCGTAGGAAACCCAACACTTTTTAAACATTTCTGTCAAACGGGCTTTTGCGAGCAACTTTTTCGAACTTCTGCGACAACGGTTGCGCACCTGCCAGGGCCATCATCCCTGTCAAATAATACCATGCGGGACACATTCGTTTTTTCTTCGCGCGCGCACGCCGAAATCTCCAAAAACCATTGGGTTCTTAAGAATTTTAGCACCGCGCATCATAAAATCACACGAATCGCACCGTAGGTCCTCGAAAAACACCTGCACGACTTTTCAAAATTTCTACCCGCGCGCGCTGTCCGAATCCTAAAAAAACCAATGGTTTTCCAACATTTATGTTACATGAGCTCGCGCGAGCTACTTTCGCACGCTCTTGCAACGGGGTTCGCGCGCCTGCCAGGGGCCAGAATCCCTTGCGGTTGCGCCATATGTTGCGCCCTCGGCCGCCGAGAATAAAACGCCCCCCTATTGGTTGCGCCATAGGTTGCGCCCTCGGCCGCCGAGAATAAAACGTCCCCCTACTGGTTGCGCCATAGG